ATCTTAAAGTATGATAATAGAAAAAAAGAAAAAAAAAGATCCTTCCCTGGAGAAAGGAGTGGCCTGACTCTGGGCGTCTCAGTAAGCCCAGAGATGCTTTATCTTGAGAGAGCAGAATATAGAACTTGTTCCTAAGTACTTTTTGAGAGAGAAAAATGATAATAATTTCAGCTACTTGAAAAACAAAAGGTGGGTAATGTATTTGGTTCTAAAAAGACTAGGAGATCTGCCTATCTTAAGCATCAGCTTTGGAGCTCTATAATGTTGGCAAGAGACCTCTTGATCACAGGATGATCTTAGAATAGAGGCTGCTGAACTCCACCCAACCTCATTGCCAGGCCTCTGGATTTATGGATCCGCCCAAGAACCAAGACATTCTCACAGCTGTATGCCTCTATGTGTTCCTGTCATAGCAAACCAATGAAAATGACCAAGCCTGCATCGAGATCTTTCATACACTGGCCAGAGAATGGAGAAAAGTTTTCTTCTTTCAACTCTTGCATGTGGTTTAAGAAACAGAAGATGTTTTTGATTTTCTGGAGAGAAGGCTGTGATACTTTAAAGGCCTATGGGCCCTGTTACTTGGTTCATTGCATTGTTCATTCAGCAACTATCTATTGAGTACTCACGGGTACCAGGCACGATGTCAGACAGGGCTTCCTTGTTGGGAGACAGTTCCCCATTGATCTCTTGCATTTTTCACATCTGTTGAGGGAGGCAGGAACCTCACTGTGTTCTTGACTACCTTTTCCGAGATGTTTGTGCATTAAACAGCCCTGGAAGACCAAGCAGTAGCTCCCTCTAGAGCAAAAGGCAGGCATTTTACTGTCTATTATGAGATTCTGATTTTCTTGGCTCAAGATTTCTCTTCTAGAACTCAACCCACCATATGGATAAACATCCTCTGAGATCACCCACATCACCCACGTGGAATTTGGAGATGAGGAGCTCTCGTTTAAATATGCCGATGTCATGCTGCTTGCTGGGCTGTAAGTAATAAAGCCTTTGTCTCTGACCCAGGAATCTCATGTCTTCTGTCAGCATCTATGAAACTGGTGTAGGCTGGGTTGCTCACTTAAAAGCAGGGCAAAACCTCAGACCCTTCACAATTCTTGGCAAGCTTACATCTTCATTTAAATTACTACTCAAAACATTAAAATGCAAATATTTTGGTCATCATATTACTGATAAGAACCCTGGAGCACTAGAAGTTAAATGACTCTTCCCAGGTCCAGAGCGAGTTAGTGCCCGAGGTGAGATTTTTGTCCAAGTCTGTCCAATTCCAGAGCCATTCGCTTTTCCTAACATCATGCTGACATGCTAAATTGCAAGCATTAAAATGCCTGTACTTCTACTTGTGGCACTGGGCCAGTTAAAATCCTGTTGGCCCCTAAATCGTTCCCGTTGCTATGATGATAAAAATATTTAGGTAAGGAATGAAAAACAATTGAGCAGCCTCTCTCCAGGAAGGACAAAAAGATAAAATCACGAAGGGGAGTTCCTTCCATTAAAAAAAGAAGGGAAAATTCTCTGTAATATTTATATAACAGTTGGCTCCAAACCTTGACCTCCTGCTGCTGCTTCTGGTGAATGGATGAGATCCATCTCTCTCCAGGCAGGATGGGCCGAGTCATGTGAAATTCAGACTAAACAATGGGGCCGCTGGACGAACAGGCGAGTCCCAGAGTGGGGAGGCCTCCAGCTCCACGGCCAGCGTCTAAAACTTGCTAGGCCTTTTGAAGCCCTTTTGTGAATTTCCATGTTGCATTTTCATCTTTTGTCTTGTTTAATTTGATCATTGTCTTATCTGTATGATAGAGACTGGCCTGTTCCTTCAGGAGCTCTTTATTACCTATGCACCAAAGTCCAAATTTCTTAGCTTGGAGTAGAAGCCACCCTATGGTGAAGCCCTTGGAAACTGTGCAGCTGACCCAAGCCTCCCTTCCTCTTTAAAGCCTTTCTTAAGTCCATCTCACTCCCGAGATAGAACCGATCCCACTCTCCTTAGCGTTTTAAATTGATTTGTATCACTACTCTCTCAGCATCCATATGCTTTAGGGCTGGTGTATATTTACATGTCTATCTTCTCCACTAAGCCATGGACCCCTGAAGGCAGAGGCTGCTTTATTTAGCTATGTAATTCCAACACTTACATGGTACCTAATAAATGTTTGTGGATTACAGCTATATACTCAGACATACACATATATATATATTATCTGTCTCTGGATCTGAAATTTAATCACTAAATACTCTTAGTTTGGGAATGAGCACTTTTAAGAAGCACAAATCATCTAAGAAGGTCAGGTTAGGGCTGCTTTGGCATGATGTAATCTAGATGATTGCTTTCCTTTTCATAAGAGTGGCCTGGGTGCAAGTGTCCTGGGTGCTGGAATTGTGGACCAGGTGTGCCGGGCTGGCAGTATTTGCTATCTCTACAAGCTAATCATCCCACCTAGGGCAGGTAGGCTCCACTGCATCATCTCTTCCCACCAGGAGGAGCAACCTCTCATCCCAGAGCAGCTCTGACAGGGGATCGGGATGCTGGTAGAGGTGCCTGGGCCATCATTGTCCAGGACCACTGGGTAGCAGAGACCTGGCTGGGATTCTTTGATTCCAGCACTGATGAATCATGCCAATATCCATGAGTCTTGATGTTACCTGCTCTGCTCCCTGTGGGGCTCTTGCTGACTCATCTCCGCCTGCTGAAGGGAGGCCAGAAGGCCCTGAGTTAAATGGTTCCTCTGCCATTAGAAGCTATGAGACCTCCAGCAAAGCTCACTAACCTTTCTGAGCCTTAATTTCTACAGATCTAAAGGGAGAATAAGGATACCCACTTGCCAGGATTATTCTGAGGATTAAAGGAGGCTTATGTGCAAAGAAGCTGGGATTTTCTACAGAGCTCTGTTCCTTTCCTTTGTCTTCCAGCCCTTCTCTGGCCCATCTCTTCTCTTCCTTTTCTCTCCTTTTTCCTCCTTCTTAACATTTTTTTGACTCTGGTATGTGCAAATTTGTGCATTATTTACCCCAACTGACAATGGTTTCAGGCATGCTGCGGAATGACTTAGTGCATTGCTGGAGAAGGGGTCAAAGATTTAAAAACCTGGTCCCTAATCTAAGAGAGCATTATTAATTGCTCGCCAGTGTGCACTCATGTGTGTGTGTGTGTGTGTGTGCATGTGCACATGCACACATGTGTGTGCGGGCATCATATCTAAGTTGCCCTCTCTCTGATGTGGCTTTCTGGCCTCTGCAGTTAGCCTGCGACAGCTCCCTTCTCCTGGTGTCTGAGCTAGGCCACCTGGGACAACCCTGCTCTGCAGCTTCCATGTCATCACCACTGCTGCTGAGCCTGATTCTGGCTGGTTCTGGGGACCCAGTGGGCTGGGAGCAAACTGTGTTTCAATAGTTTTCCAGGACACTGGGCAGGCAGAAGAGTGAGGATGAAGGGAGGTGAGGAAGGGGAGGTGATGAGTGGCCAGGGAGCCAGGCTTAGTACAGGCAGCTCCTGGGCCCAATGAGGGAGAAAGGGGTGAGTTACGGTCATCCTTCCTCCACACAGGCACCCACACTCTAGGGGCTCTGGAGAGCTCTGGGCTTACCATCTTCCTCAAGCCTTTTCATCCCAATGCATGTCTACGTGTGGGTTCTCGTGCCTCCTCTGGGCCCAGTGGACAGTGATCTGTGCTCCTAAACCTGGGAGATATGGTGCTCAAAAACCTGAAATGGCATTGCCACAGGAAGGGATATTAGAAGCCATTTAGTCGAGTGTTTCCAAACTGTGCTCCGAGGACCACTTGGTCCACGAGTTCTTAGCAGGTATCCTGTGAATAAATGGGGCCTCTGGTTCAACACACTTGGGAAAGGCTGTGTGTACTGCTCCCCTCCTACCAGTATCAGCGTCCACACTGGGCCAGTGAAGACGCTGAGGAGTCTGCACGGCTTTCACTTTGCATGATACATCATTTTCTAAACTGCCTTGTACATATTTATAAATGAAGGCCTGAGAGCTTGGGTCACCAGGGAAAGGTCTCACTTTTGGACCAGGCTTCTTCCATCACTGCTTCTGTGAGCTCCTGACTCATCCTCTCCACCATGGCCCCAGGACTGCCAGCTCCTCTGGCTGGTGGACATCCCACTGAGCTTGCATGTCCATAATCCTCCCAGGGAGATCTATGGGACTTTCTGCCAACTCCCAGGTAGAGATGGTGCAGCCTTGAGAAGCCTGGGCCCCAGGAAGTACCTAGGTGATCCCAGCACCTGGTGTGCAGTCTTTAACCTCACAGCTGCTGGTCCCTGGAGTGACAGCTAAGCTGTTGGGAATCTTGGAAAAACTCATCTGGAAAGGGATGGTTAACCAGTTCCTCTTCTCTTACTGCTGCACACAGTTGTTGACACTAGAAGACAGGGAGCTCTGAGCACTTGACCCTCAACGCTGCGAATCAGGCACCACACAGGTGCCATTATCAGCATCATTTCCATGTGAGGGAGGAGAACACTGAAGCCAGAAGGGTCGAACGAGTTGTTCAAGGTCCTGGGACCTGGAAAGGGTAGCTGGGACCCAAAATCAGACAGTGGAGCTCTGCAGTCTCTGCTCCCACCACTGGTTGCCGTGGTCACTGTTATTGGAAGAACGGGATTTGCTCACAGTTCTGGATCAGGTCCATTTATTCTAATACTGCACCTTGGAAAATCAGTGCTTCAGCCAGTGCCCTGGCCACTGGGACAGGCTATTTCTAGAGGGACATTTCACCCTTCCTTTTGTTTCATGCAGCTGGTGCCTCTGCAGGAAAAGGAAAGCTGATCACTTGTCCTCCCTCCCTTGGCAGGCCTGGGAGCTGCCTGTACTGGCTGTGCTCTCTGAGAACTGGCCCTTGCAGGAGCCGGAAATGAACTGTCTTGGCCCCATCAGAGAACATAATATCAGACAGGTGAAAAGCAAGCCCTGGGTGGCGTTTATCTTTCCCCAGACAACTACAGTAATACTGTTGGACCATGAATGCTCGGTTACATTTCAAATTTATTTCCAATCGTTCTGAGCTGGATCAATGGGAGACAAAGGTACCTTTCAGCTCTGGCACCTGCTGTTTCCCCCAAATGTCAAGGGCTGACATTTGATGCCATTATCCCCAGTCAGCATATAGATGACTTATGTCCTTGCCTCTCCAGCCCCTGGGTACCCCAGCACCCCTTCACCCTCAACAAAGACTTTCCTGCCAGTGACATGATGTTGTCCTGCACTGCCCAGGGGCCCTGTGTGCCCAGATTTTCTCCCACCTCAGTGGAGCAAAGGGTGGCCTCTGAGGTGGCCACTGCCTCCCTGGGTCCCTGGGCGAGGCCTGATGAAGCCCGAGTCCTCCTCTGTTCCTTCCTGGGCAGGGACCTAGTGTTCCCAGGTGCGTATCTTGGGAAGGAGCAAGTGCTCTCTCTGGCTGCCTGGTGGTATCAGTAGGGATGCTGGACAGTGGGGTGCATTTTTCCTGATGGAGCTGGAGAAGGCGTTTGGGGAAGTGAAGTTTGTTGCCCCTCAAATAAAGTACTCCTTTCTGCTGCTGTCACCAGCATCTTGGAGGGCAGGGTCGCCCTGCAGGGCCGCGTCCGCACTCTCAGCAAACTCTGTGCCCTTGGCCTCATTGGTGTGGTACGTGCCCTTGTGCCGGCACATGTAGTGCAGCATGACGAACAGGAGGCAGGCTAGGACGATGGCCACGGCCGCAATCACACCTGCAGGTGGGAAGACGTGCAAGGGTCAGCCTGAGGCAGGGGCTCTGGGACCCGGGACGGGGTCAGGACCCACAGGGGCTGTGTGAGGACAGATATGCTGCCACAGCCTAAACAGATGCTCCTTGATTTTTGATGGGAACCAGGTTCCTGTAAACCCATAGTAAGTCAAAATTATTGTAAGTGAAAATTGCATTTAGTACACCAAACCTACTGAGCGGCAAGGCTTGGCTTAGCTTAAGGCAGCTTAAGCAGGCTCAGAACACTTACATTAACCCGAAGTTGTGCAAAATCACCTGACCCAGAGACTATTTTATAGTAAAATGTGTCATACTATGTATTGCCAGCCTGGGAAAGCATCAAAATGGAAAATTCAAAGTACGGTTTCTACCGGATATGTTTGCGTTCATGCTATTGCAAACTCAGAAACTCCTAAGTTGAACCACTGTACATCGGAGACATCTGTACCAACCCCAGACAGGCCGGTTCATTCCTTTCCCAAGCGCCTGCTGTGCGCTTGCCCTGGGTCCCTGCCTTTCTGAAATGATCCTCCTCGCTCCTTCTCTCCTTTCCCTCCTTCCCTCCCTTCTCTTGTTCTTCCCGACAGCTGTGCTACTAAGCACTCTGCAGACAGCCTAGGATCCTACCCCGGGACTGAAACTTTTTTGGAGGTTTTCCATTCTAAAACCAGGAAAGTCTCAGAAAACAGGGCAGAGCTGGTTGCTCTATGTACAGAATACAGCGGGGAAAAGATGAGGCTATTAACTGTGCTTGGGGCAGTTGTACAGTTTGTGTTTTTCAAAGGCCTGATGGCCCCTCCTCACCCTACCCTGCTCCCATTCCTTCCTGGGGAGTGAGAACTGTGGTGAATCTGCAGGCGGAGCAGGACTTGGCCACAGGAAGGACCAAAGTGGGAGAGGGTCATGAGAGGATGCCAAGGTGGTGTGTGTTGGGGGCGGTCACCCTTCACTTCTGCTGGGACTCTAGAGGGGTGGGGAAGGACAGTGTGAGGCTGCTCAGGAGAGATCAGATCGCTCAGGGCCTGGAGAGTGAGGGGGCAGCAGTCTCATGGCGCGGGGTGTTTGAGTCTGGGTATTTACTCTGAAGCTGCAGAACAAGCCTCTGTCTTCTTAGAATGAGGGTTTATCTGGAGGCCTTGGGGAGAGACTGCTGGAGAATATGGAAAGTCTAAAACTGCTCCCAAGTCCCACCATTATGGAACGATTTCCTAAACTTCCTACTGCCTTCAGGGGAACAATTGTGTCTGCATAATGTTAATAATACCATCTAAGAAGAAAAAGAGCTCAGCGATGCAATGAGTTGGAGAATGCCAGGTTACGCAGAGTCCAACAGGTGCCTTTGATTGCTTGCTGCTGCTGCTTTTCCTTTCTTTTTAAATTGTGGATGTTTCCTGAATTATTAATAAGCTGCTGAGAAGTGTGGATCTCAAAGAAGGATACAGGGCATAGAGCACCTCCCAAACTCGGTTGTTCTTGAAACATAGTTTGCAGTCACAGCCATGACCCATGGGGAGCCACATGCCCAGGGTTCAAAGCAAGGCAAAGGTAAGCTCAGGTTTCCTTGAGGAGAGAGGGTTGGGGGCGCATGGACCCAGGGCAGAAAATAATGTGAGATGAGGGAGATGGCAGGGAAGTCCAAGAAGCCTGGTCTGTCCACCCCCATCCCACCTCCACCCTCAACCTCCCTCACCAAAGCTGCTGTCTCTCTAGCCCCTGAGTTCCTGTGAATCAACAGCCCTGAGAGGGGCCGATAAATATATATACGCACGTACATACAGACATATTTACTCAGGGCTAGACTACTCCATTCCACATTCAAAACCACTGCTGAAGGAGAGAAAAAAATGACCACAGCCACCCCTGCCCAAGTCCTTAGGTCAGTTCTCTCTGGATGTTTTCATCAAGGCCCCTCACCCCGGCTGCTTGAAGGGCTCTTCAGTGACAGCTCACCTGCAATGATGGCAATGTCCGTTGCGGTGGAGGCGGAGGCCATCCCTGGATCAGGCTCTGTGAACAGAGGACAAAAGTCTGAGGTCAGAGAGAAAGACTCTCCATGCCTAGAAGTACTGTGGCTCAAGCTGGATCCTTTGCTTAGGTGTGAGCAGCTCTGTGAATGGGCCCTGGTAGACAGGGGCAGCACAGACCAGGAACCAGGTTCTGCTTGGTCACTGATGGGTTGGAGGAAACTGTGTGAACCTGAACCACCAGGTCACTCCAGTGCCATATGCCTGCACTGAGGGTGGTGCTTGCACCTGGTAGATGCCCAACAGATATCTGTGGTGTGTATGAAGGCAGAGGCTCTTGTTGTGTTTAAGACAGACTGTTTGTGGAGTACCTGCTGCTCACACCAGGTGTCTCAGTCCATTTTGTGTTGCTATAACTGAATACTTGGGTAATATATAAAGAAGAGAGGTTTATTTGGCTCTCAGTTCTAGTGGCTGGGAAGTCCAAATTGGGCAGCTGCGTCTGGTGAGGGCCTCATACTGCTCCCACTCACAGCAAAAATCAGAAAGGGAGCAGATATTTGCAAAGAGATCACAGGTGATAGAAAAAGCAAGAAAGTTTAGAAAGCTGAGCGTGCTTTTATAACACATTGCTCTCCAGTAACTAATCCAGTCCTGTGACAGAACGAACTCCCTTCCTCCCTCAAGGGAGTATTAATCTATGCATAAGGGATCTGCCCCTATGACTCAAATATCTCCCACTGGATCCCACCTCCCATCATTGCCACATTGGGAATCAAATTTCAACATTAGTTTTTGTAGGATTAAACTACATTCAAACCATAGCACCAGGTGTTACTTTAGTTGCCTTCTATCTACTATATTATGCAGTCTTCACAGCAATCCTATGAGGTGCCTGGTGTTATTGGCCCTTCTCACAGGAAGAACACCAAGACTCAGAGATGTGATGTTCTCATGATCACACTGCTCATCCAATGTCAGGTCAGGACTTAGCCAGTGCTCTTGCCTCTGGAGAGCACTTCCTTTCTTTCTCTCTTGGAGAAGCCCTTTCCAGGCCTTTATATAGACTCTCCTGTGGGAAAGACCACTTTATGGCAAGTTACTGAGTGTGTTTTTTTCACATCTAGGAAACATGCAGGTCCCCGATGTCTTAGACATCCTAGCCAGTCTCCACTGGGGACCTGCATGTTTCCTAGAGCTACTGCAGAGAATGCCTTCTCTCTTCTGGGAGGTGATTGTGAAGAAGGATTTATTGGACCACAGAAATATCAGTGTTAACATGAGAAATCCCATGTTCACATAACAATGGCTCTGCATAATAAGACAGAGAAGGATGCGTCATCATAGTCATTTCCACTCAGATAATCACTTTAATTATAGTACTATGAGGTCATTCTCCCAGTGCAGTAGCCAGATGCCTCTTTCTTATAAGATACTGGCTGCTGGCGTCAGGAGTCATAGTGCATGAGGGGAAAACAGACTCCAGGCTAGAGGTCCTCTGCAGGAAGCAGGTGGGCCAAGCTAGAGGGGTCTGGAATCAGTAAGGAGCTTGGAAGTGGGGAAGAACATAATGTAAGGCATTGAGCCAGCAAAGGGACCCAGTGAACACACCAGGAGTCAGGGCCTGGGGAGCCAGGGACCTGGCAGACTGGAGGATCCAGCATTCACAGTGCTTCTTTAGTAGCAAGACCTGAAGCAGGAGCCATAGCAAGTTCAAGTGGGTGCTGGACTTTATTACACAGAGTGAGCAAGTGTAGCCTCCCATTTGGTACCTAGCAGATAGTAACTAGTTGATAAATATCCACTGAATGCATGAGTGAATGCGTGCATATGTAAGTGAATGGATTTAGTGGTGGGGTTCTAGACTTTTCCAATCACTAAGCACCTCAAAGTTCAGACAGAAAGAATAACGCCTTGCTTAAGTCAGCATGGATGATTATAGAAGCTCAAATACCCAGAACTGCCCTTAGAAATTTTCCAGATGAACACCAGTATTTCTTATGACACTTTGTCTGACACAGTCAGGGTTAGAAGAGACTGTTAGTTCTTCTTCTTTTAAAACAACTAATAATTGCTTACTAGATGCCAGGTGCTGCTTTGAACATTTAATGCACTTTAACTCAGTCCTGGGCAACAATTCCATTCCATAGGAGTTATTATTAATCCCATTTTACAGATTTGGCAACTGAGTCCCAGAAACGTGTTATTTTCCCCAGCTTGTAGAACTACCAGGAGAGTCAGAAGTCAATCACTTGAAGCTCAGGCAGCTTTGAGTCAGTGTGTTGAACCCTGCAGGGCACTGCCAAGTGGAGAGCCTTGGTAAGCTGGTTTCCAGATGAGGTATTGCCTTGAACAACTTGGGGCACATTTCTTGGCTTGTGGTTAGGGACCTTGTATCCAAATCTGTATACTGGGAGACTACACACACTTCCAGCAGGCCAGCCAGGCTGGGAGGGCAGGTGGGACCTGAGACCTCCAAGGTATTGCCAGCTGTGCCTCCCAATGTGGGCTCCCTCCAAGCTCATGCCCACTGAGGAGCATGGTGGGCAGGATAGGTCCCTCAGCTGGAACTGCTCTCTCCATGCCCCACCTCCTCCAAGTGTGTGGACTGAATTCACACATGTTTCACAATGTGATGGACTCCAGGGAAGTGACGTTTCAGCCCATCAGAGCTGCCATATATTAATAGATCAGAATTAGCATAGAGAGGAAACTCAGGCCTGTGTGGGAAGGTGCGGATGCTATGAAACAGAGGTTCTCAAAGCGTGGTCTCTGGGTACACAGCATCCTCTGAGAGCCTGTTAGAAATAGAAATTCTCAGGCCCCAGCCCAGACCTACTGATGAGAAACCCTAGGACTGGGACCCAGTAATTACTATAGTAGATTCTGAGGCATGCTCTAGGCTGGGAAGTGCTGGTGCAAAGAGGGCTTCCAGAAGTGGTGACATCAGGATTGACCCTTTAAGGACAAATTGCTGCACAAAGCATCTAAGCATTCCAGGCAGACAGCTCAGCATCCAAGGCACCTCTCCCCACTTCTCAGCTTTCTCCCCAGTGTCTGCTTGCCATCCATGGCGCCAAGGCTGCCGAGGCCTCTGGAAATGGGGGGGGGGGGATGTGAGAGCCCTCCTCAGTGCACTCCCTTGCCCTGTGCCCATTCAGCTGGCAGCAGTGATGTCAGGTCTTTGGAGAAGTCTGGCTCAGTGAGCTCAGATCCTGCCCAGGAGGTAAGTGGTTGGTCTGCATCCAGCTTAAGGAGCCTGGAATGAGCCTGCCCCTTGCTGGACCTGAGGGATAGTTATGAGGTTGGGGTTAAAATCATGCTGAGCTCAGCAACTAGGGTGGGGTTGATCTGTGGGCAGCCTTGGGGGTAGGTTTATGGCAGAGTAAGTGTTAGTTATGGCCAAGCTTGGTCCTGGTATCAGAAATAGACAATTAACCAGAACAACTGGACAGACATGAGAGGACCCATTTTTTGGAAAGACCTACTTTTCTTTTCCAGCTCTCCTCTAGGTTGCAAGGTCTTCTCCCCACCCACCCACCTCCTGAAATACCCACCCCAGACAGGAAGCTCCGTAAGTTCAGGCATGTCTTGCTCACCACTCAGTACCCAGCATTGGACTGGGTGCCTGGCACTGAGGGACGAATGCTGAATGATTGAAAGCCTTCTGGGGAACAAATCATCTAAACTCCAGCCTTCACTATGCTTGTCTTTGTGGAGCTGGGAATGCCTTTCCATCCATGGAATTTGCCACTGACTGCAGTCAAACCCTACTAACTTCTATGTCCTCAGGATGCCAGTTGTCCATTCTCTGGTGGAAGGCAGCCACCCCTGGAGGCAGCAGGGCACACAGGCATGAGCCTGCAGTGCAGGGAGTGCTCTCTGCTTCAGTTGGCAGCTTGAGTGCAGCCACTGGGGTGCAGGATCTCAGCTGCAGTGGATTCTCAGGGCCAGTGGTGTTTCGCAGACATGGACGGAGAGCAGTGGTTAGGCGCTGGCCCTGAGGATGGAAGTCACGCTCCGCTGTTGCCACCAAGGGCCTCTCTTGTCTTGCATTTTCAGATGATGCTGTGCTAAAAAGCTCCTTTTTTCCCCTGCCTGACCTGGTCTTTACATTTCCCGGCCCATCTCTCATGGCTCCCCTCTGCCTTAGGAGTTGTTGAAGGAGTTCCCGACATCCTGTCTTCCACTGTCCCTGGTCCAGGAATGAAGGAAGAATTCAGGCAGAGAGTGAGGGCTTGAGAGGGGGCATTGAGAATAAGGATGGCTTCAGACTAGAACACCTAGGAGTCCTGGGAGGAGAAAGATGATTTCAGTCTCAAAATCATGACAGGACAGGTACGTTTGTCACGGGGGTCCTTGGAGAATTCCCACATTGACAAGCCTTGTTGGTGACAGTGAGGCAGCAGCGGCAGCGTTGACTGCGTGACAGTTGGCCAAGTGCTGTGTCAGTTACCCGGGGTGTTCAATTATGAGGAACCTACAGGTTTGGTTAGAAAAATCAATTTACCAGGCTGGGTGTGGTGGCTCACACTTGTATTCCCAGCACTTTGGGAGGCTGAGGCATGTGGATCACCTGAGGTCATGAGTTCAAGACCAGCCTGACCAACATGATGAAACCCCATCTCTACTAAAAATACAAAAATTAGTTGGGCATGGTGGCAGGCACCTGTAATTTCAGCTACTCAGGAGGCTAAGGCAAGAGAATTACTTGAACCTGGGAGGCTCAGGTTGCAGTGAACTGAGATAGCACCACTACACTCTAGCTTGGGTGACAGAATGAGAATCTCTCCCCTCACACCCTAAGCAAAAAAGGAAAAGAAAAGTCAATTTACCAACCACTCTGAAGCAGCAAAGCTTTGTACAAGACTGATTTGGGGTTCAAGAGCTATGGGGAAGGAACAGTAACCTCTTGGGCATGGGAAGTTCTTCTCCGCTAGCACTGGGATTTTTCTTCCTGCTCCAGATCCCTCAGCATCCTTGCATAAGTGAAGTAGAGATCAGATGAGAGGTGAAGTACATTAACTAACTTTTCTTTTTGGTAGGAATGGTCAAATGCATTTACGTAGCCTTGAGGATTTGCCATTATCACTTCTGGAAAAGATGCCGCGTTGAGGCTCTAAGGTCTCAGAATATAAGCGCCCCCAAGAAATAAATAAATAGCTTATTACCCACCCGTCCATTTCTCCTAGAAGCCAGCCAACGTTGGCTGAGCAGTTAGCATTGACCCAGCCCCAGAGTTACAGGGAAGAGGAGAACATGGTGTGTGTCCCCAGGAAGCATATGACTTGGCTGGGGAGGTGCAAAAGTCAGATTGCCCACAGTCTCTATGTGACGAAGCATCAAAATGAGCATTGACGAGGTGCTTGGGGGACTCGTGGTGATACAACCATGAGACTGAGCCCCAGGATTCTAGGAGTCTGTGGCAGTGGGGATGCTCATGATTGAGCTGGTTCATTATTTCCTTCAGCAAACCTTTTTATGCTCCAGTCATATGCTCCATCGTTAAGGCCAAGCCCCACAGTTAGGAGCAAGCTGTGTAACCGAAAAGGGTAAATGCCGGTAAGCTGGGGAAAGGATTGCTCTCTGCTGGAGCCCACAAACCTTCAGTGTCCTCAGGAAAGGCTTCCTGGGGGCCGGGTGCGGTGGCTCACGCCTATAATCTCAGCCTTTTGGGAGGCCGAGGCAGGTGGATCATGAATGAGGTCAAGAAATGGAGACCATCCTGGTCAACATGGTGAAACCCTATCTCTACTAAAAATACAAAAATTAGCTGGGCATGGTGGCGCGTGCCTGTAGTCCCAGCTACTCAGGAGGCTGAGGCATGAGAATTGCTTGAACCCAGGAGGCAGAGGTTGCGATGAGCTGAGATCGTGCCATTGCACTCCATCCTGGGTAACAAGAGTGAAACTCCATCTCAAAAAACAAGACAAAACAAACAAACAAAAAGGTTTCCTAGAAGAGGTGGTCCCAAGTCTGTCCTGAGATGGTGGGTGGACAGTGACTATGTGGTAGTGGGCATGGTGGTAGGAGAGGTACATGAAGGGAAGGCCGTGTTGATAGTGTGGTCAGTAAGCTTTTGGGTTGGGTAGACAGTCTCCCTTGATACCTGGTCAGTATGTGTCAGAACCTGGGCTCCAGGGACCTGTTGGATGTCTGCTATGAGGGCTTCAATCTGCCCACACCCTCAGGTGTGGTCACCCTTCCCATCTGTGCAGAAAGCACATGTACATTCATCTGGTCTTTCAGATGGAGTACACAGGTGAGGTTGATGTGAACTTGACCAGCCTATTCAGAACCTGTCTAAAAGTCTCAAGGTTAAAATGATTGCCGTGAAGATCCTTACGGGTGACCTTACAAACAGTGCCCCCCGGTCCGCAGTCCTCAGGGCTGACAAGGTGCTGTGCAATGTAGCTGCACTGCCTTGACACTCTGTAAGACGATCAGCAATGCTTTCCTCCTCCTAACTCTTATCCGGTCTAATCTGCTGCCACAGTATCCAAACACCACATGGATGGCAGGATTGGAACCTTGCAGCTGCACTACACCGTTTGCATGGAAGTGTGGAGGCCTCCAAGGGTGGGTGGGGAGGAGAGGTGGCCTCTCTGCCCTGGAGAAGACAGTCATTCCCACGTCCGTAAATTGGGATAAAGCAGAGGCACAACACTCAGAAGGCAGAGTCAGGAAAAGACATCTTTCTTATGCACATCTTGGAGTTTTGCTGGAGAATTTTTCATACCTAGTCATTTGCTTTTGGGATGTGCTCCCTGGAAAGAACGCAAGGCTGCCATGACGTAGACTTGAAGTGTCTGGTTCCAGGATTTTCTGTGTGGATTTTCCTGTTATTCCCCCTAAGCCTTTAAAAAAAAAATTTAAACAGAACCCTAACACCATAACCAATTTGCCTCATTTAAGCCACAGCATCTCAGTAAGAGGAAAGAGTGTTTTTTCTCCATTGCGAGGCAAGAATATGAAAAAGTGAAACCATTGTCTCCTAAGTACAGGATGCCGAAATAGCAGAAATCAGCAAGGAGCCCTGAAGGGGAAATATTTGGGGATAAAAGGCTGGTTGAACAAGGTGGAGTTGCCCTTGTCAACCACCAGGGAAAGGACCTTGTCAGCTGTCGTTGGTGGGGCATTTGTGGTTTATCAGGGAAGCAGCAAATATACCAGGCTGGAGTGCAATGGCACCATCTTGGCTCACTGCAACCTCCGCCCCCCCACCCCCCACTTTCCGGGTTCAGGTGATTTTCCCTGCCTCAGCCTCCCGAATAGCTGAGATTACAGGTGCCCACCACCACGTCCTGCTAAGTTTTGTGTTTTTAGTAGAGATGGGTTTTTGCCATGTGGCCAGGCTGGTCTCAAACTCCTGACTTCCCATGATCCGCCTGCCTCGGCCTCCCAAAATGCTGGGATTACAGGCGTGAGCTATCTTGCCTGGTTGCAAATATCCTTCTTTACTCATGGCATAGAGTGACAGAAAGCAGAACCATCATTCCCCTGGCCTGTCCTCTAGCAGACACGCTCTGCCAGAGAATTTCTAGGGAAATCAAATTTGAAAGAGGCAGGAAGAGTGGGTGGCTCTTCAGTGTGAGAAGCTCCCGGGGCTTGGTCAGCATCTGGCTGCTGGAGACAGGTAGGGACTCGGCGGGTATCTGGGGTCAACAGGCAACTGAAGAAGCTCAGGCTTAAGGCAATGCCCAGACCGCTGGAAGGAACCTAGTCAATGTGTTCTTCCTGGAAGCAGAGAAGCTGCCCTGAACAGTTGGCATGTCTTCAGCACACTAGCAGGGCAGCCTTCACCGTGGAAACCTCTGACCTGCTGCTGCGTCTTTGTCATGCTGAGGGATCATCACAGCAGAAGGAGAACAGAGTCCTTAAGACGGAACTGAAGCTGGGCGAGAAGCGGGGAGATGCCACCTGAGCATGAGTTAGCATCCAGGCTCGAGAGAGCCCCACCCTGAGGGAAATGGGGACCAGCCACAGTGGAGGACTGAGAATATTCCTTCTGCCTGTCCCCTGCCTGCCCCCACAGTGCTGGGTTTGAGGATTTGGGGTCCTTGTGCCAGGGTCTGGTCCATGCACACGCCCTTCTGCTCCATAGCTCCCAAGACTGGAAGTCACGCTCCTCTGTTACCAACAAGAGCCCCTCTTCGCTTGCATTTTCAGATGATGCTGTGCTAAAAAGCTCCTTTTTTTCCCTGCCTGGCCTGGTCTTTACATTTCCCGGCCCATCTCTCATGGCTCCCCTCTGCCTTAGGAGCTGTTGAAGGAGTTCCCCGCTTCCTGTCTTCCACTGTCCATCTGGTCCAGCAAAGAAGGAAGAATTCAGGCACAGACTGAGGGCTTGGGGGAGTGGAGTCGAGAGTGAGGATGGCTTCAGCAACACTTAAGCAAGTGTTCCCAGCTGAGCCACTACCAGACCACTGCTGATTGATTTAAGGATAGCTGAGCTCCAATGAGGTAGCAGGGAAATGCTTCTCTAAAAATAGGTGTTTGGCGCACCAAAATGGCAAAGGAAATGGCTGTGTGCAGAGGAGCCAGGAGGACCTGGGTGTCCCAATCAGCGTCTGCTTGACTTGCCAGCTCCGAGCTCCACCAGAGGTGGCTGGAGCGTGGAACAACCTGGACACACGTACTTCCAGGCCCAGCTCCATCCAGACACCTCCCTGAGGAGCGTGAAGGTGTGCAGGAAGCACGCGGTGTTCCCAGGGTCACCCATCTGCCAGGCTCAGGGCCAGGCATCTGGCTGTCCCACTGTGACATCAGCACACTTGCCAGGCATGGCGGGGACAGGTGTGGACACTTGTGGACACTCATGGGACGGGGACACTGGTGGCCAGACCATTTTGAGGAATGCTATGTCGCTTTTCTTTTTCTTTTTTTTCCGAGATGGAGTCTTTGCTCTGTTGCCCAGGCTGGAGTGCCATGGCGCAATCTCAGCTCACTGCAAATGTCGGTTTCTTCACATGTAAAACCCGGTGGCATGACTGTGTAGCCTCGTTGTAAGCTAGTTTGTGGTACACAGTGCCAGACATAGGTCAGGCTATTTGAATATTAATTATTCACATCGTCAATTATGTCAAAGTGTTTCCTAGAAACAAGTACCTTCAATGCTCTGGTACACTACTGGGCACATGTATCATCCTAAGAATCCAGCAATCCACTTCTAGTAATTGATCCTAGAGAAATAATCTGGAACAGGAACAAAAGTCCATGCTCAGGAAGTGGATTGCAATGCAGTCAAAAATGAAAAAATTAAAGAGAGAAAACAGTCTAAATGTTCCCTATGTGGGCATTGGTTATGCAAATCATGATACGCCACTATGACCTAGTATTATGCGACGAGGGAAGGGGTGCATGTGAACTTA